GGAAGGAACATGGGTCCAGAAGTTAGTATGAAAGTTCTTCCAGTCCGGTGGTCTTCCAGAGTCCCCCTGCAGTGGCTGGAGCCAGGATATCTGCAGAGTTTGCCTGTCCCTGGCTAGTTCCTTTGTTCAGAATTCAGCGTGAGGTGTATTAGGAGCCTTTCTCAGTTACTGGCACCATCCTTTCAAATTTTCAGTTAACCCTCAGATCCTTGGAGAAAATAACTGACCCGATGGAGTTGTGTGGATTAAGTTGAGAAAACTCACGTGAAAAGTCTTCAGAAATAGCAGCGAGCTCTGCAGATGCTAGATGATAACAGCCGAGGCAGCTCTTTGGTCTAAACTATTTTTCCTTGGTGGTTTTAATTCTTTTGGAGTATTTTTTGGTGGGACCACATTTTAGAGGACACACAGTTTTATGGTAGAGGTTCTTTATTTTATTTTTTTTTTAAACAGAGATTACCTTTGGGGAGAGCATTTTGCAGGAGCATTTCTGTTTCCCAAATTGAGGCATGCTTTCTTCCCGAGCAGTCCGGGTTGTCCCCGTCCTTAGCGTGCTCGAGCTGGCCAGCATTTGCGTGCACGTACTTTGGGAGTGCAAGGAGTCATTCACTCGGCGGGGATCCTTCTGGTATTTTGCTGTCAGCAAGTCTGACATATCTGTTCCCCACCTGGGGTTTGCAGCTCTGGATAATGGAGTCACACTTGGTTAGTAGAGTGGGGTTAATAACACTCGTCGCCTTCTGTTTTCACCAGTGTGTGTGTGTGTGAGTCACGAAAGAACAGGACGCGCCCCTGCAGGAGGAGAGGGCACAAAAACGCGTCCCATAAAGTATGTCGCTTCCCTGCTACTTCAGATCTAGCCTCCGCCGTTGCAATCTGGCATCCTTGGCCAGCATGAATTGGATTCCAAGTTGCCATTCGCTTTCCAGCGCACGTTCGTGCTTAAGATCTATTTGTCAGCTGTTGTGTAAGGGAACTTACACATTTCTCAGTATTCAGTAAACGCCTAACACCCCGGAGGAATGAACGTTTGAGTCTGAAGTTGTTCAATGTAAGAGACGGTGAAGACAACTGTAGGAAACTAGTGAGCCATATGCATGCAAGTTCGTCACATTTTTTTACGGATTTACCATAGGTTAATTGATTTTTATTTTGTAAGCGTTTCACTCTTTTGTTTGCTGCGTGAGTACTGGGTCGGGAGAGCTAAATAACTCATGTTTCCTGGCACGCCGTCAATACCTTTTAGAAACTGCTCAATATCGACGCTCCTATTCCAGGCCATGAAGTCCCCGGTGAAATATTATTTTTCATAGGTTAGGTCTGTCATGGTTCTAATTTCAGTACTCTTGAGTGTTTACCACCTGAAGCTCTAGGCTTAGAGAAGCTCACAGGGCAAGATGACCTATTTCTACTCTTCCCCAGAGAAAGACTGTCGTTTGAACCAATCTAATACAAAACCTGCTTTAATGGGATTGTGCATGTGCTGTGAGCACGTGTGTGGTTGTGTTCTGCGTCTGTATCTCAGGATACAGTTACTAGGAAATGCTTTTTTTACATAGTAAATATGGGAAATATTTCTGGACAGTTAGATCCCTTTAACTATTAAAGAGATACCCCCACTGTTAAAGAGAGCCCCATTCCTACAAACTAAACAGAATTCAGATAGATGTGGGAACTTCTTTTCTTTTTATTTTATTTTATTTTATTTTAGGCAGAGTCTCACTCTGTTGCCCAGGCTAGAGTGTCATGGTGTCATCCTCTACAGCAACCTCAAACTCCTGGCTCAAACATCTCCTGCTCAGCCTCCGAGTAACTGGACTCAGGCATGAGCCCATGCCGGTAATTTTTTCTATGTAGTTTTAGTTGGCCAATTCATTTGTTTCTATTTTTAATAGAGACGGGATCTTGCTCTTTGCTCAGGCTGGTTTTCAACTCCTGATCTTGAGCGATCACCCGGCTCGCCTCCAGAGTGCTAGGATTACAGGCATGAGCCACCGCGCCCGGCCCACGTTCTCATTTTTTAAAAGGTGTGTTGCTTCTTCATACATGAATATGAATATCGTTTGCTTACACTCTGCAAGCTTTTTTGGCTACTGTAGATTGCACGTGTGAGGGACCTCATCCTCTTGTCCCTCCCCTTCCAGCATCGAGATTCTAATAGCAGCTTGGGTGGAGGTAGAATGAACCTATAAGCCTGTATCTCCCAGGTAGCATGAGTCGCATTGTAACTGGTGTGGGTTTTCAAGTCCTATTCCTGTTACCAGCAAAACCTGAATGGACCTTATCATGGCCACAAAAGAGTCTTGACCAGATGTCCTCAATCTATGGCCTGCGGGCCACATGCAGGAGTTTTGCCGTTTGTTTTTTTTTACTTAAATAAGATATGTGCGTGTTGCATAGGAATTTGTTCATGTTTTTTTTTTTTTTAAACTATAGTCCGGCTCAACAGGTCTGAGGGACAGTGATCTGGCCCTGTTTAAAAGTTTGAGGAACCTGAGCACAGCATTTTTAGTTCTTTCTACACTTTGGTGATGTAGACAGCGGAGATAGAACTCGGGTCCTCTCCATTCTCTGAAGCAGGCTTCGTGTCTTTCTGCGTCCATGCTCTGCATTTGAGATCTTTGCCGGGACGCACCCACGCTGAGCCAGATTAAGAACCACACATGTGCCACCTGGCAATTAGCAGTGGACAGTGACTTGTGTTTGAGTCACTCATTCAGAACCCCTGTGCCTGAGGGCACCGTCCCCCGCCCCGTTATCTAGGCCTACTTTTGTTTGAGTTTTTTTTTTTTTTTTTTATTTGACGTTCACTTTTTGCTAGGCTGGTGGTGCTGTAGCATCAGCTAGAAAGAACTAGCCTCTGGCTCAAGCAATCCTCTGCTAGCCTCCAGTAGTGGGATACAGGCACGAGCCACCATGTTGGCTGATTTTTTCTGTATATTAGTTGGCAATTGTTTTCTTTCACTTATAGTAGAGGACGGGGTCTCGTTTCGTCAGGTGGTTTCGACTCTGACCTTGACAATCGCGCCATCCTCCCGAGTGATAGGTTACAGGCGTAGCCACGTGCTAGGCCTGTTTGAGTTTTTCTTCTTTAGTCAACTTCTTACACTTATGTCCTCTCTGATTCCATGAATGGAACTGATGTTTCTTCAGATAATTGCTTACTTTGCTTTGCTGTAGGTGCACTTTAGGTTCTACTCAATTTTATAGGTTCCATTTCCCACCAAGTCACTGGTGACTGACAAGTTTGGCTTTTTGGCCTTTTGGCTTCAACATGCAACTTTTTCTATTTTTCATGTCTCACGTTTCTTCTTAATGATATTACCTTTGACCATCCATCATATCATTAAATTGTCAGGTGTGTAGTGATTTTTTTTTTGAGGCAGAGTTTATTTGTTGCCAGGCTAGGTGAGTGCGTGGATCAGCCTATCTCACACAACTCAAATCCTGGACTCAACAGTCTCTGCCTCGCCTCGAGCTGGGATACAGGCTGTGCCACATGCCGCCATTTTTTTCTTTATTATTGTTGGCATTAATTGCTTTTTTTTATAGAGATGGGGTCTGCTCTGTCAGATAGTGCGACTCCTGACTGGAGAATCGACCGCCTCAGCCTCGAGTGAGCCTCAGATTACAGGCGTGAGCCACCACGCCTGGCCGAGTATTCTTTTTGATGCTAAAGATCAAATATAGCCAATGCCAGGTAAACGAGTATATACCCGTTTTTTACATGTGAGTGATTGCTGATGATTTAGAATGAAAGGTTGTTATAAAGGCAGAGGTACTTTCTTCAGCAGTTTTCTGTGCTGAGCACATGTCCTCTGACATAATCTTATCTGATCTCTGTTTAAAAGGCTTTCTTGATTAATTGATCTCTCATTGATGCACCGTTGGCACCAAAGGGTTTCTATTTATTTGAGCAAGTATGCACTGGCATTAAATAATTAAATTTTATGAGCTCCATCAAAGGATATGTATTTATTCTGCTGTAAATATTCATTTAGTGGTATTTTTTTCCACCTTAGTAGGTGCTGGAAAATCAATGTTTTTTTTTTTTGGGGGGGGACATTTCCTCATGTTTATTTTTAAAAACTCAAATCAGGGCCCAAGAAATCGTCAATGTCAGGAACACTTCAGAAATTCTCTACTACCTATTGTGATACTGTCTCCATTCTTCTTTCTCAGCTATAGAAATAAGTTCTTCCTGATTGGATCTCGACCCATGCAGTCAGGAAACAATTGCTCACCGCATCCATCAATTCTGTCTGCACATTATCATGTTTCAAAGGTTTGCCAATTAATCCCGGGGAAGCCAGAATCACTCATAATTATAATCCTGTTATATCTTCTTTTATTTCTTGATGTGCTTGTTAATTCCTGTCCATCCTGCAGTGGTCTGTAACATAGTGCTATTATCAGCTCTTTCGTCCTTAAAAGCCTCTTGTCTGACATTTTGACAAAGACTGATGAGCTGCACATTGTTGAAATCAATCATTTTGGATTTTAAAAATCTATCCTGTGTATTTCTTCTGGCTACTTTTGCATGATTTCACTTTCTTTTTTTTTTTGCAATTAATCCACCAACCTGGTTGCTTTCCTTTCTTGGCTTCGTTTCTCTTACTCTTTTCTTATTTAAGAGCTGCCTATCTTTATCTCTTTATTTCTCCTGTCCTCTTGTAGACGGCACCTCCGGGAAGAAAGGACAGTTGCAGGAGGCAGTGGACTCAATTCTCCTTTAGACCCCGGCCAGACACCAACTACTCCCATTTCCTTTTTCATAAAATGAGAAAGATAGTTCTTCTCCTAAGTGATCCTCCCCGAAGCAGTTTCTGGGGTAAAAGCCTCGTGATTGCTGCCAGCCACTTTGCAGTGACCTTGTCACATGCTTTTCACTTATAGCTTCAGACTCATCCTCCGCATGCTCATCTTACCAGGTAGACTCAAACGGAGACCCCAGAATTCTTCTGGACACACGAATTCACATTTCCTTTTCTTTTTCCTAGGTACTGACTTTAACATAGACAGCTTGCCCCTGCCTAGGAAAGCCCATCACGACTGGGCCCTTTTTCACGAAGAGTCCCCGAAAAACAATTACAAGCTCTTTCATAAGCCGGTTGTCACCCTGTTCAACTACACTGCCACGTTCAGTAGGCACTCCCACTTGCCACTGACCACCCAGTACTTGGAGGGCGTGGAAGCCCTGAAGTCCCTCCGATACCTAGTTCCTCTGCCGTCCAAGAACGAGCTCAGGAAAAGACTGGCTCCGCTGGTGTACGTGCAGTCAGACTGCGACCCGCCATCGGACAGGGACAGCTATGTCCGGGAGCTGATGACTTACATCGAGGTGGACTCCTATGGGGAGTGTTTACGGAACAGAGATCTGCCCGGGCAGCTGAACAGTCCGGTGTCTATGGATGCCGATGGCTTTTACAGGATCCTCGCCCAGTACAAGTTTATCCTTGCCTTTGAGAACGCGGTGTGTGACGACTACATCACGGAGAAGTTCTGGAGGCCACTGAAGCTGGGGGTGGTCCCCGTGTATTACGGGTCCCCCAGTATCAAGGACTGGCTCCCGAGTAACAAAAGTGCTATTCTCGTCTCGGAATTCCCTCACCCCAGAGAGCTGGCAGGTCACATCCGACGGCTGGACCATGACGACAGGTCGTACGAGGGCTACGTGGAATGGAAGCTGAAGGGCCAGATCTCTAACCAGAGGCTTCTGACAGCTCTCAGGGAACGGAGCTGGGGTGTGCAAGACATCAGCCAGGACAATTACATCGATGCCTTTGAGTGCATGGTGTGCACCAAGGTGTGGGATAACATCAGGCTTCAGGAAAAGGTAAGCGCGTTGGGATCTGGCAGAGAGAGACCCTAGGCTGGCCACCTTGATGGTGTCTGCCCTCCTGCGTGGCTGCTGTACCTCCTTCTGGGGTGGCCGCTCCATTACTCTTCTTTCTCCTATGGGAGAGGCTGGGCTCTGCAAGGCGGTTGAGTACTTCCTTGCTCTCTGTGGGACCGAAGTTTACAAGCCATGTCCTTCTTCCCGATGGCCTTCAGTTCTCCTTGCTGTTTCTGGAGGACACCTGCACTTCAGGTGCTGGGAAGTGACCCAGGGAAGCTGTAGAAAGAGGGGAGAAGGCCCAAACATAAAAAATTAAGAGCTTTGCATTTCATCCACACGATCAGTCCTTTTTTTTTTTTTATTTTATTTATTTTATTTATTTATTTTTTTTCTTGAACATGACACTTTCGAAAACGATCAGTCCTTTAACCTCTCCATTGACACTGTGGCAAAGGAGCATGGTGACTTCCGCCAGAACTTTTATGGTTCAGCCCCATGGGCTGCCATTTTGAAACTCATTTTCATTTCTCCTACACAATTTAATCTCTGTCACTCCTTCTTTCTCTTTGATTCTTGCTTTTTCTCTTTCTGGTGCACACACATGCTTATTAATATATAAACTATTCAAATAATGATGGAGAAAATCCTCAAAAAACTTTTTCTTAAATTATTATGAAGTTCATAGCAATGTCTCCACATGTCTAGGTTACTCTTGACACTTGTTTGCTTACTTTATGTATTCCTCATGGGAATGATCCCACTTTATGTATAACTGAATTTGTTAAAAGGAAATTTGTAGAAAAAAAAAGATTAGTTTCGACTTCTCTTGAAATTTTTAAAAAGTGAAGGGGCCCACATGTACCACTTGCCTGCCTCCGAGATACACATAATGTTTTATCTAAATTCTCTGAAGGCAAATAACTTTTGTTAAATGTTTAAATGTTTATTTTGGCTCTCATATTAATTTCAGGTCAAGCATAAACCTAAATAGTATGTGAAGTTATTTTTAGGTATTGTATGCATACTATATGGGGGCTATCATATACTACATATGTATCTGTTTAGACAAATTTAAAATAGCTGAAACATTGTTTTTCATAATTTAAGCAATTATGAACATTTAAATTCTTCTATCTGGTTTTATGTAACATTTTAGCCCATGAAATCATTTATTTTATGCTGAGTGTCTTGGGCAGCAACAGGAACGCTAAATGTTACGTCATTCTTCTCAAAGAATGCATCCTGATTTCCAGTGACTTCCTTTATGATCTAATTTATAGGGCTGCATCACAGCAAAAAATCAAATACGCCACCCACATGCATGTGTTCACGCACACACATGCACACATGCACACATACAACTGTGAAAACACATGAGAGAGTAGAGTCCACATTAATTGCCCATGCTATACCAATTATTTATTCTCACAGTATATCAAAAGCAGAAAATAGAATTTCTGAGGGTGATGACTGGCCTTGGCTAGCTTTCAAGATCATTTTGAGGCTCGGAGATTGTGTTCACAGAAAATTGAAAGAACTGTGCAAACCTTGGCTGCTCCTGTGCCTCACTGAGCCCTGATGGATGGTTAGGCAGGGTATGATGACATTGGTGAACAGCTTTTAAATAGATATAAGAGGTCGTTCCTGCTTTTCCAACAGAAACAGCTAACTGGTGGTGGCATTTCAGAATGCCTGACGGTGGTATGATTGAACGTCCTTCTCTTTGGACTCACTGAGGAAAATGAGCTAGAGTGGGCTTTCCTCCTGAGTGCTCTGATTTCTCCCGGAGGTGGTCAGTGAAGAAGATCAGAAGGCTTTGCTTGCATTTCAACGAAGTAGTTACAATTCTAAAATGCTAATGTGCTCATTATTGAAAAGTAGAACGAAACATACTATGAAAGCAAATTAAAAGGTATTAGACCCGTTTTTATTTGCACTTATCTCGCCAGAATTATTGCAGCAAAACTTTAAGCTACTTGGATATAAGTTTCTTCTTTTTTTTTTTTTTTTCTCTTTTCGCCAAAGAAAAGCTGAAAGCAATAATTTGATTTCCTCTAACTCTATTTTTATAATTGATAATCATTTAACTTGTCACGTTTGGATGTAGACAGTATTATTAGAATATCAAATGCATTTTCTATTTGTCTACTCTGCTTCTGCCCTCCTCTCTCTCTCAGGTAGGCAGACCTAGTCTATTAGCCATCTTTTGCTGTGCAACCATATTACCACAAGCTTAGTGGCCTAAAACAGCATGCATTTGTCATCTCACGGGTTTCTGTGGGTCAGGAGTCTCATCGTGGCTTACCTGGGCCCTTTGTAAGGCTGCGTGAAGGTGTCAGACCAGGCTGTATTCTCATCTGGAGGCTCAACCAGGGGAAAGTTTGCTTCTAAACTTACATGCTTTTTTTGGGCAGATTCTTGAGGCTGTAGGACCAAGGGCTTTAGTTTCTTGCTGACAAGAGGCTGGAGGCTTCCCTCAGCCCCAAGAGGCCACCCACAGTTCCTTGCCTTGTGGGCTTCCCCATCCGGGCTGCTGCTCACTTCCCCAAAGCCAGCAAGGAGGCCAGAGACTCCAGGAAGGCCAGCGCCATGGTCTTATGTACATAATCGCACATACCCTGTCGCCTCTGCCATACTCTGTTGGCTTGAAGCAAGCGAGAGGCAGCACCCACGTGCAAGGTGCTATAGATGGAATGTTTGTCTCCCATCCCCCTGCCCAAATTCATATGTTGAAAGCCTAACCCCCAATGTGATGATATTTGGAGGTGAGGCCTTTGGGAGGTGATTAGTTCATGAGGGTGGAACCCCCATGAATGGGATTAGTGCCCTTATAAAAGAGACAGCAGGGAGCTCTCTTGCCCCTTTCTGCCCCATGAGGGCACAGTGAGAAGATGGCCATATGTGAACCAGGAAACAGGCCCTCACGGGACACTGAGTCTGCTGGCGCCTTGATCTTGGACTCCCCTGCCTCCAGAAGTGTGAGTAAGAATGTTTGTTGATTGAGCCACCCACTCTATTGTATTCTGTTGTAGCAGCCAGAATGGACTAAGACACAAGGGAGGGGGACACGGATTACACAAGGGTGTTACCAGGACTGGGGACCATGGGAGCCACCCCTAGTGAATCTGAATAAGCATATTCTCTACTTTTTGCACTTTCACTGTGTAGGGGAAAGTCAACACTGAAAGGGCCACCCCATGAGTAAATTTTATTCCATTAAAGAGTATTTATTGACAAATGATCCATCCTCAAAGAGGCTATAATAGGAGGAGACAACATGTAGTCATCAGAAATATAGCATCATGGGATTGGGATCAACTTTCTAAAAAAATTGATTGAGGTCTAATTATGTATAATAAACTGCACATATTAAAGTCATACAGTTTTTTTTTTTAGACATAGTCTGGTACTGTTGCCCAGGCTAGAGTTCCATGGCGTCAGCCCAGCCTAGCTCACAGCAACCTCAAACTCCTGGCCTCAAGCAATCCTTCTGCCTCAGCCTCCTGAGTAGCTGGGACTACAGGCATGTGCCACCATGCCTGGCTTTAATTAATATTTATATATTAATATATATATATATATATATATATATATATATATATACTTTTTTAGATGTCCAGATAGTTTCTTTCTATTTTTTAGTAGAGACGAGGTCTCACTCTTGCTCAGGCTTGTCTTGAACTCCTGACCTTGAGCAGTCCACCCGTCTCGGCCTCCTAGAATGCTAGGATTACAGGCATGAGCCACTGTGCCCGGCCTAAAGTCGTACAGTTTGATCGGTGATGATATATGCAGACACCTGAGAAACCATCCCCACAGTCAAGATGACAGACATTTCTATTATCCCCCCCCCAAACTTCTTCATGTCCCTTCCTAACCCATCCCCCTCCACTCCTTTTCTCAAGCAACTACCCATCTGCTTTTTGTCACTTTTGACAAAGAAGCCCAGGTACTTTTCTGGGACTTTACATAAATGGACTCACATAATATACAATGCTATGATAATGTTGACATTCATGATCATTTATCAGCAGTCCATTTTTGAAGTATGCATGTACCAAAATTTGCTTGTCCACCTAGCTGTTAATGGACATTTGAGTTGTTTCCAGTTTTGGGCTATTATAAATAAAGATGCTATGAACAGTTAGTTATACAAAGTATGAATGTACAAGTCTTCATATGGACATATGCTTTCAGTTCTCTTCTGTAAATGTCTAGGAGTGTAATAGCTGGGCTGTATGCTAAATTTAACACTTACGGTATATTTAATACTTTGAGAAATGACCAACTTGTTTTCCAAAGTTGTTCCAGTTTACCTGGTCATCAGCATTGTGAGAGTTCCATTCATTAATAATCGGTGTAGTCAGTCTTTTAATATCTGACATTCTAGTGGGTGATTTTTTGAGATTTTCCCAAAACCTTTCTGATATTAATTTTTAATTTTTTTAATTTTTAAAATGTATTTCTTTTTGAGATGGATTCTCCCCATGTTGCCCAGACCAGAGTGCAGTAGCTGTTCACAGGCACAATTAAAGCACACTGCAGCCTTGAATTCCTAGTCTCAAATAGTCCTCCCACCTCAGCCTCCCAAGTAGGTGGGACAACAGGTGTGTGTCATTGTGCCTGGCTCTGATATTGATTTTTAATTTAATTCCACTGTGTTATGAGAACCTGCACTGTATGGCTTGAATCATTTTAAATTTGAGAGTGGTTTTATGGGCCAGAATATGGTCTACCTTGGTAAATGTTTTTTTGTGCACATGGAAGGAATGTATTAATATATTCTGCAGTTGTTGGGGAGAGTGTTTTATAAATGTCAGTTTGATCAAATGGGTTGACAGTTATTGTTCAAGTCTTCTATATCCTCGGTGATCTTCTGTTTGCTTCTGTTATTCATTCAGAGGCATATTGAATCTGTAATTGTGGATTTGCCTGTTTCTTCTTTCAGTTCTGTCAATATTTGCTTCAAATATTTTCAGGCTGTTACCATCTACACA